GAAAGATTTGTTTCCACCAAAAATATTCCTTTTAGAAAAAATGGACCCAAAATAGCATCCAGAGCAAATTTGGTGTCAAAATTTCGGATTATCCTAAGATAATCTAATCCCTCGGAAATAAAACATTTNATATAGATAGATAGTATATACATACTAGGGGACTCCCTGTTCGCAACCGCTCACCAACCCCGATGATTGCTTAGCAATAATTGTTTTTCTTGCCAGAAAACAGCTTTTCTTCTAAAATTAAAATTATTCACTTAATACATATGTACTAAAAGGAATTCTGTTTACTTACGCTTGCGCATCTACTTCCCACGTCCGAATATTACTATCTATTAGTATTCTACACATTTAGATCTCTTGGTGAACAGAAGTGATTTTTCGAAGTAATCATTTTTTAAAGTAACATTTATATTCTTATAACATTATATTGTTCAAACAAATTTGAGTTCACAACCATAATTTAGAATTTTCGCTAATAATAGCAGTACTGGAAAATAGTTTTAAATTCTTCCTCTTCTTCTTCAGCACGACAGCCCCTTACAGGCCTTGGCTGCCTCAACCACGCGTAGCCTCCAACGCCTCCTATCCATGGCGACTTTTTTCCAGTTGTTAATCTTTATTACTTTAAGAACTTTAGTAGAGTCATCCTGCCATCTAGTTGGAGGTCATCCTCTGGCCCGAGATCCTGAACTTTAAATTAGGGATACAAAAATATTTAAAGGAAAACAATACCTTTACGACTTTTGTTAATTTTATGATTATGACAACCAAAACAATTAGAAATGAATGAGGAAAAACTGGACCCTGCCTCGTAATTTTTTGGACAATAGAAATGCACGAACAAAAATGGAAAACTCTGACATCATTATTAGACATACTCAAAATTAGAGCCCCTTAATTAGACAGTATAGATAGTATAGGAGCCTTACTCAAAATAAAATAAGAATCGCTGCTCAGCATTTGATGGTAAGTTGAGTTGTAACATCTTAGGGCCTGGTTTCTTAGGACAGGACGCCGTCAGCTGGAAATCAGCGCTAACCTCTGATTGGTCCATTTGTAAGTTTGATAGTATACGTCATCGAACGCTCATCTTGAACTACAATTGCCGTCCAACTCAACTGCAGTTGGATTACAACGTGACGTTAACCACAGAAGCAATGGCGGACAACATCCAACAGCAACTTGAAATCAGCCAAGATTTTGATTTTGACATTAAACACAGCTTCTTCGTTAAACATAGCACTCTTCATTTAACTCATCTATAATGTGTTTTTTCTTGGACAAAGTCATTATTTGTTTTCTAAAACACTGGTCGACAATAACAAAATCAATGCAAATTCAAAATAAATATTTGTTTACGTTATAACGCATGAGCAATGAGAGATAATGTCTGCGTTGGACCGACTGCTCAAGCTGAGCTAACAAAAAAGTATTTTTTTAGCGTCAGCTCTACGTCAACTTTCCGCTGACGCCCAGATAAGGCGCTAGTTCTAGGAAACCAGGCCTTGAGCTAACAAAACAGTATTTTGTTGGCGTCAGCGGGACGTTGACGTCCCGCTGAAACTCAGATAAGGCGCTTGTCCTAAGAAACCAGACCTTTAGCAAGAAGCATTATTAAAAATTATTACTTTTTCTCACACATGCGTTCTCAATTTTAATTGACTGTTTTGTGCGCTACTAACTGCAAGTGTTCTGTGATTGGCTGTGTGTTATCATTTCACTCTCTTCATATATATATATATATATATATATATATATATATAT